ACATTGGGTTATTTCCATTGAAGGAGAGGGCATTCTACCCACTAAAATTCCACCCTCAAAGATTGTGAAAGTGAAACTTATTTCCCGTTCGCTAATTTCTTCAGAATTTTTTTGGGGCCTGTTTAGTTATTTCTTATTCTTGTTATTATTAGTTATTTCGTTATTATTAGCTGTTTCGTTATTATGTATTAGTTTTTCCTCAAATTGTTAACGGTAATAAATTTTAAAATCTTTTTATTTTAAAATCTTTCTTTTAATAAATTTTTATTTTATTTTTCTTATTGCATTGTTTTACGGATTCCTGTAATCAGTTCAGCCTTAATTCAGCTACTGAACATATAAATATTTTTTTGCTGTTCTTCTGTTTTTTGGCGCGGTGCCAACTAGTAAGAACAACTTTATTTTATATAGTTTTGTTGTTTTCTTTCCTTTTTTTTGCTGAAAGAGAAAACTTTTTTTGTTGCTTTTTTTTTGCTGAGAAAGAAATTTTTTATTATAATTTAGAAATTAAAACTTTATTTTGTGAAATGCATAAAAAAATGTAATTTTTTATTATACAGATATTCTAAAAGGTAATTTAAAGGTCTCTCCTGAAAGGATGCTGATATACGCGGTTCAGCGCCATTGCGGCGCTTACTATAACTTTTTTTTTAAAAAAAATTCATTTTTATCGAGGTGCGGCGCTTCTGACGAAGCGGCGCTTTCGCCGAAAAATACGGTATCTTAATGTAAAGCTAACTTTTTTTCGCTGTGAAATCCTTGCAGAACATTTGTATATATTAATAAGTCCTGTTGCAGAACATTTGAAAATATTCTGCTTCCGGGCTACCATGTGGACAACAAAATGATTGCGGTTTTTTATTCGATTCATTATTTATTTTTATTTTGCCGCTTTTTATTTTTTCTTGTTAATTGTTGCTTGCTTGTTTTTTTTTTTATCGTTATTAGTTTTTAGCTTGTTTTTTGTTGTTATTCATTGTTATTTTCTTAGCATTAATTGTTAAAAAAAATTTTTTTGTAGTTCCCTGTTAGCTTTTTTTTTCTTCTTGCGAGGTAAACGTCTTTTGTTAAAAAAAAATGTTATCTAAAAGAAAAAACGAGAACTATGATCTCTCTCCAAAGAAGAAACGATTATTTCTTTTTTATAGGATTCTGATTATTTCTTCTTGATTATATTATATAGATTATTATTATGATTAGTAAAATTTCTCTTAAGATGGGCCAGTTTTAAATTCACCCCATCATAATCTACGATCGAAACTTGACTAAATTTATTGGTTTTTCTGAAATTAACAGTGGAATTGAATTATAGTAATATTTGGGGGCCATATTGGAATTTCCGAAAGAGATCCGAAGTTTTGCATTTCGTCAGTCCCGCGAGTGTCGGATTTAGGGTCCAATTCTTCCTTTTCTGTTCGCTCAAATTACAATTGCCAAGGCGCTAAATAGATTTCTAGCTTGCGATTTTTCCTTAAGCTGGGGGTGGATACAAGATGCATACCTTTTAAATTTTCTCCTTATACGATGTTTTTTTAAAATTATTATTTCGTTTATTTATTTTCTTACAGGCTGCTGCCGAAAGTTTGCTAAGAATTGGCGATGTTCTGCAGCTGATCGCGATACAGGCGAATATTTTGTCGACTTCGTTATTAATTTTTTTAAATAGTCTCTCTCTCAGAAAATTATTTCATCTTAAATAACTTTCCTTGACAATTTTTTTTGCTACTAAAAAATATTTTGTCGGACGCGCCTCATGTAGGAAAAAAAAACAACTTTTTTTCCGATAGCGCCGCGGCTCTTCCGCCGAAAAATACGGTACAAAGATCAAATTCAAAATGCCTGAAGAATTTTTTAATTCAAAACGAAAAAATAACGATAGAAAAAAGGCAATGTGGAGGAACTAAACCAGATGAGGAGGTTTCTGCTTAATAACAATATGTATAATAATAGTTGACAATTATTTTACTGAAATAATATCACTACTACTTGAAAAATGTTCATCAAAATTGCAAGTGTTGGCAGCTAAGCATATACTATTAATAAAATGATAAATTAATACGTTTATGCTACAAGATCGTGTCAGACAGTAAACAACATGATAAAGTTGCAATCATTTCAAATAACAGCTTTATATTAAAAGATGCACAAAAAAAAAAAAAACCTTCCAGTCAATTTAATTACGGTTTGGTTTCTAATTCACCTTTATTTTCCCTTTTTCTTTCTTTTTTGCAATCTCATGCCTGAAGATATCCTTTGTAACAGTAAATCTTGTCTCATTCTCACTGCAATTATCTAACACCAAATTAAATTGCTCAATTTTTAAAGAGTAACTATTATAAAATAATGTTCAAATGCATCCCTTGCTGTGTTAAAATTTAGTCACATTTTTGCCTAAAACTTAAGATTTTAACATCCATTTCTAGATAAGTGTGTATCTCAACTCTAAATTAAGTAATGTTAGTTTTAGCTTCTTGCAAAAAATACTTCGTTAAAAATATGTATTTTTCTCCAGGCAAATTTGTAAAATTTATTTACAAATCGCCCTCATAGCTCTAGAAAAATGATTTTAAGTTAATGCAAAACTAAAGCTTATTTTTTAAACTTAACTTTAAATATATGATTTCTATGTTAATCAGTCATGTGTAGTTGTCACTCTTTATTCTTATTTTTTTTTTTAAAGTTTATTGTATTTTTTAATAATAGTTGTTTCTAAACTCTCAGTTTTGACCCACTTAAGTTGATTTTTAGAATTATTGATTTAAATAATACTGATTTTCAGAAATTTACTGTATATTTTTTATGCTTAGAATCATTTATGTTTGTTGCTTAATTTTAGGTGCAATTAGATCATGAAAAATTAACAAAAGTTTATAAAGAGTTAACACACCGTAACAGACATTTGCAAAAACAAGTCTATACTTTAGTTGAAGAAAAATCAGATTTACAAGCTAGTATTCAAAACCAGCAAAGGGAATGTCAAGAATTGCAATCTAATCTGAATGTTGTTGTTAAGGAAAATATTGACCTTTCTACTGCTGAGGTAACATAATATTTTAAATTACTAAAACCTTATTTTATGAAAACCTTAAGCTTTTATGAAATACCTTATTTGGTATTTCATAAAATTTGTCAGTATTCAATATATTTATTTTTTTCAAATGCTTTTATAATTTAGTGTTACAGTACATCCCAAACATAATATTCACCGAAAAAGTATTAAACAATTTTAGGTTACAGGGTTGAGCATTTTGATTGTCCAGGGTTTCTGCTGACTTGTAAATTTACTCAACTAACATCGTAATTACTTCCGATTGAAATGAAATGCACCCCCGTAAAATCAAATTATTAACATGTGGTATGCACAGTTAGTATCCTATATCAGCAAAAACACTTACTCATTGAGTGAGGAATCAAATTATCTTGTTTTAACATTGTCTAAATTGCTTTGCAAAAATGCAGAAAAGATGATGAGAAAAAGAAATTGAGTTTTATTCATCTGAATTAGAATTGAATAATTTGTGAATATTAGAATCTGAATTTTACTTAATATCATCTACTTCATCTTTTTTATTATCGTAATTATGTTTTTGAAAGTCAATAATGTTTGTACTTATTGTTTCACTTTTAATGCAATGCGGTATTACAATCTTGTGGAAGGCACCAGTTACAATTTTTGGCATTACTTTATTCCATGCCTTCACAACCTATGCACACATTAGATAACTGCAATAGTTGATGATCATTAAATCTTCACACAAAGTACTTATTATAGCATTAAAGGAATCATTTATGGCAATATCCTAGGATTGAAGCTATTTTTATTAACCTCCCTGGAATGATGTTTAATTTTACTGAAAATGTCTTGCATTTTTATTTGGTATCCTTTTAGAGATCTGCATGCAATTTATTATTAATAGAGCATATGATTGAAGAAAGCGCTCTCTGAAAACTTAGTAATACTACTAGTAGGGTTAGTACTAGGTAGGTACTTAGTACTAGTGTTGGCACTAAAAATCAGTTCATATGGAGTTAAGTTTTCAATTACATCTTTTGTAGAAGATCAATTTCTTAAGTGTATAGCACAATTCTCAGCTTTGGCTCAAAAACTGAAGTGAAGTCTTAGTTATAAAATTAGTGATCTGGCTGTGCCAACTACAGTTTTAATTAGGCTTTTGGCAATTCCATTCTGTTATGGGCTTAAAACAGCTAATTTTCCCCTCTGCATACCTAGTTCTTGAAGGTAAATGGCAAATTCTTTTATTTCATAATAATGTAATCACTTGATATTGAGATCACTTTCATTTAAAGTTTTTAATGCCACTTCTGAAATAAGGAACAAGATGAAATACAAATTTCCTTTTTAAAAAGCAGTCACTCCCACCAAGTTCCATAATTCTAGCATCTTTTGTCTGTAAAAATCAGTAATCTTCTGTCTCTTGCTTTTGAGTAGAAATCAAATCATTCTTTATTTTTTAAGATGGATAGCTCTAGCTCTACATTTTTAGCATTCTGAAGAGCATAAATGTACTGCTAAAAGTAACCAAGTCAAATGTAGAATACTCTAGATTCAACTAAAATTAAACAGTTTTTGCTGCTGGATTTTTATTCCGGCAACTTGATCATTTTTTAGCCTGTGTGTGGTAGGCTATATATATTGACTTGAGCTTGTTTTCCTAAAAAGGTGACTGGCATTTAAAAAATTACGGCGCATGATCTGATATTTTGCTCAATTATTGACTTGGTCAATTTTGGTAGCATACACATTATAATAAAGGATTAAATATTATTAGAAATTACTGTTAACACCAATAATTATTTCTTGAAAAGTATTCAATTCCGAATTTTTTTGTCTATTGTTACTTATGGTCATGATAACATGTTATCACGACACTACATATTTGGCTAAGTCCAATGAAATCTTACGTTATAAGATATAGAGATATTGGTAGACGAGCTCGATTTTTAATTTTTTTTAAAATTAGTTTTCACTTTGTTAAAATATTTTACCATTAAAAAACTTTTTTTAAAAATCATTTGTTTTAAAAGTTTTTTTTAATAATGTAAAAAGCAAGATAACAAGAAAAAAAAGACTCATATTTACATTAGAATTAGAAAATGGTACTTTACAAACGTAATAAATTATTCACTTCAGACTTCTAGGGAGAAAGACAGATTTTGAAACAATTGTAAAATTCCCAAAATATAACATTTAGTTTGTGATAAATAAGAGACCCAAAATTTCAAAATAGTTTGTTGAAGCATCGTTTTTTTTTTTTAAAAAAAGTGGAAGAAAAACTCCCAGACTTCCTTGCATTTTTTTTTCAGAATAGCAAGCAAAGGGAACATTTTTTCCCTAAAAAATGTGTTTAATAATCTGTCAATCAATAAACTGCTACTTTTATAACATGTATTACTAGCAGAGTTCTTTTAAATAAGAAGAATGAGGAATACTCAATATTCAAATGAATGCAGGGATCAACAGAGAAAAGAACACAGATAATGTCATAATTGTGCTTTTTTTTACGTTTAGCTTTATTCATACGTAGCACAACGTCAACCTTTTTCAATGTTAAACCTCTCTTCATGAGTACTTTCAATATTCATTGATAATTTCTTCTATAAGTTGTTATTGACCACCTAGAAAACCCTAATTCCTCTCTAGTACCTACTTTGAGGATTTATTAGCTAAATGATTTCATCCTAGTGATTTCCATTTTTAGGATATACATTTGCATTTCAGATGTATGATGTAGTAAAAATTAATATCAAGGAACTTATTTTGAGATATGCTATGACTTGTTAAGTTGTGCTTATCAGACCTCTCATATTAATAAATAAAATTATAAAATTAAATTATTGTTATAATAAAATTATTAATTACTCATAAATAAAATTATTGTTGTTTCCACAGGACAGAAATAAACTTGACTTCCAAGGCAAACTTCTCATTGATCTTGACGATCCAAACAGGCCTCGTTTTACCTTGGATGAACTTAGACATATTTTATTTGAAAGAAATGATCTCAAAGCAAAAGTTAGTGATTTAGAAGATGAACTTAGTCTGCACAAACAAAAAAATTTTCCTAGGTATGCCAACAATTATTTTTTTAAAATTTATATGATATAAATTTGATTTGCTGGAATTTTATAAAAAAATTATTCAATAAGAACCTTTTACTGCACCAGATTGGACTTAACCTTAAATGTTTGGTTTTAGTTTTCTTACTGTCTTTTGTTTCTCGCAAGCTTTTGACGATGAAAAATTATTTAACAATGCAATAAAGAAATATGTGAAAGAATGGCTTCACCCAAATAAATTGGAAATACCTCTTAAAACTTCTTTGATCTCCTTTGATTTTTTTTTTAAATGTAATGCTACAAATTTATGTGGTTTTTATTTTGGATTTTGATTTAAACGCTGTATACAGTAGAACTCCAGTTACCTGACTCCCATGGGACCTGAAAAATCAAAATTGTTGGATAATCAAGATACCATTTTAACAGTGATCTTGTGAGTATATAAACATTAAAGTATGAGAAAACTACTCAAAACAATTAGCAACTAAAAGAAAGTATAATAAAACTTTTACTTGTTCTTTACTTATCTATTTTAAGTAATGATAAATTATCATGTAAAGGAACAGTTATTTGATAATTTTATGTTTAATAGAAATGTTCCAGTCAGAGGCTGAACTATATCACTAGACAATCACTCACAAACTGGAACATGGTGGTTAATAATGGCAATCTGTTGTTTACACTTTTATTTTGAAATGAAATGTATTTCAATTGACTACTAGTAACTGATTGATCATTGATAAATTTTCAGTTGGCAAGTAAGTGCTAGGACTTTATTAACTTTCCCTCTTAATAATGAATACACTATGAAATACTGCCAAATTTATATTAATACTGCCAAAACATTATGCAGATGGCTTTACAATCATATCTTTCTGTATGATATTTATCTCATCTTTGTTAGTCATCTACACAGATTTCAAGAAATCTATTGTCTTGATACATAAAATAGTCATTCTATAATTCATCAATTTAGAAAAACTAAATAGAAAAAGTTTGTCTTACAAAAAAATTTATTTCACACAAAAACGTAACTAGACTTTTTAGTCCTTGGGGTATTTAAATATTCTTTCTTTCTAAGGTGTTCCTAAGAAAATTAATCTTTTAGGACCCTAGCTTTTTGTCTGTATTATGGAAATAAATAAAAAAAATTTTCTAGAATTTTATTTTTAAAATGAAAATTTTAATACTTTCATCTTTTTTTCTTATCAAATTATAATTCTATAATTTAATTTTTATTCACACATTGTTGAGATTTTCCTGGAAGAAATTTGTTACTTCCAGGACATTGGAAGAAACTAAATATTAATGATAAAATTGTGTTTTTTTTTTGTAAAATATTATAAGAAAGTATAAATAAATTAAGTTTAATTCTAGGATAAGAAAGTTCTTTTATATTTTTTTAAAAAATAAAATTATTTTCATAATTATTTTCCTATTATTTAATGCATTTTTATACAGAATTTTAAAATTTATGGCACTCATTATAATAATTTATTCTTTATTTTGATTTAAATAAGTAATTTTCTTAAATAAATATAATTTAAATAATGTGTATTTATAATAATTTTAGTTTACTGAGTATTCTTTATTTAAATAAAATTGTTAAAAAATAAAAAAATATATTATTTTGTAAAAATTTGATTAAAAATGTTAAATAAATAATTAGTTTTGTTGAGATTTTTTTTCTACTTATGAAATTTTAATTAAATTTTTTTTATTTATATATTTTTTAATTATTTCAGAAAGTGCGAAATTTCTTAAAAAAACTTGCATCATTTAACATTAAAACAACAAACTCTAATTTTTTCCCTGTGAAGCAGAGTACTTTCAATCTATCTTTGATATAAAAATGCATACTAAAAATAAAAAATTTTTACAAACTTCTACTTTGCTATGGCTTGCTACACCATTGTATGTTTACAAGTTTTGTGTTCCAAAAATAAATAATCTTTCTTTACAAATGCATATTAAAATGTTGATTTTTTAAAATTTTTTTTGTAATTTTGAATTTAGAATATTACAGAAAACTTCAAAGCTTTGCCAAAAATTTTATAAAATTCTCTCTTAAAATTTTATATAATTTTTCATTAATTTATAATGAAGAATTCTTAGGTTTATTTCATAAATCATAATAACTAATTTTAGGATTCATTTTATGAATAGGTATGTAAAAACAAATTCTTCATTAGAAATATCTGTTTAGAAACACTTTAAGCATATTAACAAAGAGTTGTTTTAAATATTCATACGTTAACTGTATTTAATCAAGATAATTAGAATGCTATTTGCAATAAAAATGCAATTTGTAGTTGTGATTATGATTATTATGTGATGTTTTAATTAAATTTTAGTTATAAATTTGGATTATGTTACTATAACAGTTTTTAATGCAGTTACAAAATTCAGTTCTACTAAACTTGAAAAACAATACTAAAAACACTTTTAATTTTAGCTTTTTAAAAATCATGCATTAAATAGTATGGAAATGGACACTATTATTTGAACTAGATTGCTATTATAAACTATTAAAAGAAGAATATTTTGCTATTAGATATTTTTTTTTAACAAGTTTCTTCTTTGACTCCCATTTGGTTTGAAAGATACATTTCTTTTAGGGCAGTGGCAGTTTTTTCTTCATTGTGAAAGAAACTTGCCATCTCGGTCTAAAAATGAGAAACATAGTGTTTAAGGGCACTACTTAAATAATTATCTAAAAATGTTGAAGTAAATTTTATTTTAGAATTTTGTAATTTATAATATATTTTTTGCCCCTAAAAAGTTTTGCTTCTTTTACCTCCTTATCTATTTCATCAATATGATAAAATAAAACAACAAGGTTTACAAGTTTTATTACAAAAAATAAATTAAGTTTTTATTAAAAAAAGTTCTTTCCCCACCAGCATAGCAAATTTATTTTCGCCACAATATCGTAATATCCAGAACACTGTAATGCAGTTCTTTCCAAACTTTTTGTACCTGCGCCCCCCTCTTTGGAAAAAAAAATTTTGTGCCCCCCTAAATTTTTCTAACAATCCAATCTCATAAACACTTATCTGATATTGTAATTTATTTAATGGGCTACAAAATAATATACAATATTATGTATAAAAATACATAAAAAATAATTATCTATTTTAAGAAATAATAATATAATGTAATAAAAACAAATCTTACAAAAGTACAAAAAATAGAATTCAACATTAATACAACATTATAAAAATTTAATGTGAAGGGTGAGCTTGTTTTTCAGCACAAATTTTGTCAAACCGTGGTATCATTGAAGATATCGCGGTTCTCAGTTCCTTTTCAATCTTTAAGCAAGATCGATACTTTGTCTTTAAGACAGCTACTGCAGAAAACCCAGTTTCACATAAGTAAGATGTTACAAAGGGCAATAAAATTTCTAAAGCTTTATTTGTTAAAGTAGGAAACTCGTCCTTTACTCGTAACCAAAACGTGACAATATTATTTTCGTGTTGAAACATCTGCTTTAATGTGCTGTCACTAGATAAGTCAATTATCATTTCCTGCTCTGCTGTCGTAAGGCCAAAATCATCATATTTTTCAATCACAAACGGGTTTCTAATCCATTCATATTTGGACATGTCAAGATCTTTAAAGTAAAACGAGAATTGCTCCCTTAAACTGGTCAAGTGTTTATTAATAAGAACTTTACTTTCTTCTATTTCATCTGCAAGACAGGTAATTTTAAAAGTGGGAAACATGTCAAAGTTATTATTTTTCAAACTTATTATCCACAGTTCCAATTTTCTCATAAATGCAGTAACCTTGTCTTTCTGGACAAAAGCATGAATTTGAGGCCCTTGCATTGATTTATTTAAAGTACTGAGTCTTTGAAAAATATCCACTAAATACGCAAGTTTTACAAGGAATTTCGTGTCATAAAACAAGTTTGCTTCATCTCTATTATTATCAGTAAGGAATATGGCGATCTCTTCTTTTAGCTCAAACACCCTTTGAAGTACTTTGGAACGAGAAAGCCAACGTGCCTCACAATAATATAGAAGTGATGTATATTCTGAACCCATGTCATTACACAATTTTGCGAAAAGCCTTCCTCTTAATGGGCTATTTTTGATAAAATTTACAACTCTTATAATAACTTGAAATACTGTTAGTAAATCTTCACCCATATCTCTTGAAACAAGTGATTGTCTATGAATCATGCAATGCGTCCAACTTGCCCGAGGAGCCACCTTTCGAACTAGTGCCTGTAGACCAGCGTTTTTTCCTGCCATAGATGGAGCTCCATCTGTGCATAGTCCAACACAGTTCTCCCACAGAATGTTATATTCATTGAAAAATTTATCAATCATATTAAAAACTTCACTTGCTGTAGTATTGCCTTCAATAGGTTTACAGAATAACATGTCTTCTCTAACATCAGTTTCCACAACATATCTTACATATGTAATCAAGTGTGCATCCTTAAGAACATCTGTAGCCTCATCTACTTGCAACGCGAAAGAAGATAGTTTTACTTTTTCTATTAATTGATCGCAAAGATCTTCAGATATATCGGATATTCGTCTTCCCACCGTATTATCTGCAAGTGGAATGATTTTAAGTTGATCAGCATATGATTCACCTAGCATCGTAGCTACCATGTCAATAGCTGCAGGTAGCACTAAAGTTTCTCCTATTACATGGGGTTTTTTGCATTTAGCAATTCTATAAGAAACCTTATAAGACGCAAGCAATGCTTTTTGTGTAACAGACATGGTCTTTGAAAACATTTCTTTTTGTTTATTTAAATTCTCCAATTTTCTTTGGAAAAATTCTATTGTCTTGCCAACGTGATCTGCATGTACGTTTTCGAGATGCCGTTTTAATTTATTTGGTTTCATGCTGTCTGAGGCCAAAGTATTCAGACACAGCAAACACATTGGTCGTTCTTGGCCATTAATGACTTTACATGTAAATCCAAATGATAAGTACATTGGATCATATTTTCTACATTTAGGTTTACTATTTTGCGAAGATGTTCCGCTATTTTCGTTACCTCTTCTTTTGCCGTCTGCTTCTGCTTCATTCAATTTTCTTTTCAACCCAGTTACGTATTTATCCATCTAAAAGGGTTATTATTTTAAATCAAATAAAAATACTTTATAACAGTTTTGAAATTTACCTCAATATTAATTTAGAAGTGTACCAAAGCGAGTTTGTAGACAATCTGCGTGGAAACGGTCGAGTTTAACCAACGTTTCTTAACGAAATGCCGCGTGTCTGCTCTCGTCTGGGCGCACGCATCCAGGTGTAGTCGCGTCGTCCGAGTTTGAAAAACCCCGTAGTCGCGCGCAATTGATGATAGTTCCACACCAGATGTAATGAGCTCTAACGTCGTCGAATTAACGACGACCTTGGCTCATAAGCCTTGTCGGGGCCTGCTGCCTGCTTCTGTTTACTGAAGTTTGGCGGGAGTAGCCCTGAGAATACCCGGGATGATCCGAGTGCTTGTCTAGTGTTTCCTCGCGCTCGGCTCCAAACGGGAAAGCAAGTTGTTTTCGTTCCAGCAAGAGTATGGATGGATTTTTTAGCATTTATACCCGAGAAATTCGCGGCGAGGATTGTGGATTACGTATAACCGTTTTTCTGATTAATTTTTTTGACACCTATTCGACTTTTTTGGTTTGTATTCGAAAATGATATTTTGGAATCAGCTGCGTGCCCCCCTGCAACAGTCTCGCGCCCCCCTAGGGGGGCGCGCCCCACACTTTGGAACACACTGCTGTAATGTGTTCAATATAAGACAATTTAAATCTTACAGCAATGGGTCTACTGGGAAGCTTTCAAATAATATTTTCTTTTCTTTTTTTCATTATTTGTTTTTTTTTTTTTTTTTTTTTTTTTTTTTTTTTTTTTTTTTTTTGTACGATTTATAATTTTTTTTTCATCACAATCCTTCTCATATTCAGTGCTTTGACTTGTAACAATGTCATATTAGGTTTTTCCTTAATCTTATTTTATATTTTTAGTCTTTCTAAAAAATCAGGCTCATTAGTTGTTACAAATTGATGTTTCAGTGAGAAAAAATAAAAAGGTTTTCAAATTTTAATTAGCCATTATTTAGTACAATTGAAATTATCAAGAACCAGTTTATTTGTCTACAAGTTCTAAAATAATATATATATATATATGCAGTCAACCCTCCTATAACGCGGTGAGTGCGTACCACGTTGTATGGAAACCGCGCTATAAGAAACACAGAATTAGTACAAATCACATCATTCGTACCACGTTATATGGAGACCAATAAGGACAAGATAAATTATAAATTATTTTTATTAAATTGAAGAGTTTATATAAAGAAATGATACCAAAATTAAACTAAAAAACTGTTTTCCAACAAAAACAAGAAAGACTTTTGTAAAATTTAATCTTTCAACACTCATCCTCGCTGTCAGATAATATGAGTCGCCTAACTCGTCTTCTTTTAATAGGCAAAATGTCTTCCTTACTTGGCTCATCTTCACATTGGTTTTCGATTGTAGCTTTTTTTTCTAACTCCACTGAAACCTCTCTATAGGGAGCTAAGCAATTTCTTAACTCTCTTTTAAACTTTGCGCTACGCACCGTTGAATGATCAGTTTCAATGAAATGGAGTTCTAATTCTTTAGCCAAATTTAGCCCTTTTTTCACATCTTGTAAATCGACATTTGCCACCCATTCGTTTTTCTTATTTTCGTTTATCAATGGATTTGAGGTGGGTGCATCAATTAAATCCATCAGTTCATCCTCATCTAAAGTTTCTTCCCCGATTACGAGTTCTCTTACATCTTGATGGTTTGTTGTAAATTCTTCATCGCCTAAACGAGAAGCAATGTTTACTATTTCTGTAACTGGGAGGGAAATTGTAGAATCATCTTGTATTGCTTGAACCATTTCAGGTAAAAGGGGTTTCCAACACGCATTAAGCGTTGATGGTTTAATTTCCGCGCAAGCCGATGACACGGTTCTAATACAATCTAAAATAGAAAATTCCATCCAAACTTGAGTAAGGGTTTTATTTTCACTACTTTCTAATCTGTCGAAAATGGTTTGGAAAACTTGGCGTGTGTAATACATTTTTAAAGTTTGAATGACTCCTTGGTCCAAAGGTTGTATTAATGACGTGCAGTTAGGAGGAAGGAAGACAATTTTTACATTTGGGTGATCCAGTTGTATGTTGTGCCAACCAGCGTTATCAAGAACCAATAAAACTTTGAAATACAAATTTTTTTGCATCGTGTGGGTTTCCACTGCTGGGATAAAACAATTATAAAACCAATCCTTAAATAAATCTTGGGTCATCCAAGCTTTCTTATTAGATCGCCAGAATACAGGCAATTCGGTCTTATTAATGTTTTTCATAACACGGGGAGTTGAAGAACGATCTATTATCATAGGTTTTATCGTCAGGCTCCCTGATAGATTGCTGCACATATGAAGGGTGACACGTTCTTTTGAAGGTTTAAACCCCTGAGCACGCCTTTGATTTTTCAAAATGAAGGTTCTAGATGGTAGTTTTTTCCAATATAATGCCGTCTCATCGGCGTTAAAACTCTGATGAGGTGAATAGCCTCCTTCATTGATAATTCTAGCTAATTCCAGCTTATAATTCTCGGCAGCCTCAGCATCTGCTGAGGCCTGTTCTCCTTGAAACTTAATATTGTGTAATGAGTACCTTTTTTTTTAGTTTTTCAAACCACCCTTTACTCGCGACAAACGAATGATTTTCTAGCTCTGCAGAAGAATGCCCAATATTCCTTAAATGTTCATAGATTTTAAGTGCTTTCTGCTTGATAAGATTTCCACTGATAGGAATCTTTTTGGCTATACAGTCTTCCAACCAGATCATTAACGCCCGTTCCATTTTAACCAGATTAGAATTTCGTGTGCGAGTAACACGTTTCGCACCTAACGGACAGCCATCTGCCGCAGTTTTCCTTATATTGTCTAAATTTTTCTTTATGGTTCGAATTGTAGATTCATTCAACTTGGTAGATTTTGCAACCGACGATAGTTTTCCCCCGCCTTCTAAACGATTTAGAATTTCGATTTTATCTTCAAGAGATATAAACTTTCTTCTTAACCCTTTCCTTGTTTCTTTCGTGTTTGACATGATGCAAATCTAGGGTTAATAATTACTTTATTTTTATTATATCGGAACAAATGAAGAATATTACTTACAGTATTGTGTAATGTTGTCCAATTATAAACCACAAATTAAACAGCAAAAATCTGAAAGAACGGACGGTGCAGAAAATTTTTTAGAAAGACTTGGTCACCAACAAAACGTGTGCACTGTGAAAGAGCTCTGAAAAGACTAAAACCAATGTCGCTATGAGATAAGCCGGAGATAATCTTTATGTAAACATATCTAGTTACTATGTCGCGATCCCACTGCCTGAACCTACATGAAACTGGAACCATCTGTTCCCTTATAATTCAAATAGGCCCTAACGAACTAAACAGCTTAGGCTAAACATTCTTAGACTACGCGGAAGGAACTTATGGGATGCTGTTGACGGAAACTTTGTCTGAGAGTACCGCGTTATAGGAGGGTTGACTGTATATGTATATATATATATATATATATATATATATGACTGTGTCTGCTGTGATTTTTGGAGTAAACGTTATCTCTTAAGAAAATAAATCCGGTGTAATTTTGGTAAGACATTCAATCTAGCTTGATGGAATTTCCTTTAAATGTCAACTTTCATTTAGATATTTAGTAAGCAGATTGAGCCAAATNATATATTTATATATATATATGTATTGTTAAGTTCTAACTTTAAGCATCATCCTCAAATGAACTGGTATTAGAAGATTTTGTTCTCTGTTTTGGTCAGTTAAATGGTAAGAAATAAAAAAGTTTTATTTCTTTCTCTCTTAAGCATTATTTTGCAACCCCTTTTGTAAATTTTTTCTTTTCCTTTTCTGCAAGGATTCTAAAAATACATACTAAGGGAAGTCATTTCTGATCACCCTGTATATTAAAAATCATCTAGTTTAACAAAGAGTTTCTTCTTTATAATGTACATATGTGTTGAAAAATCGATATTCTTTTTTGCTTTGATATAAATGAATCCAAATCAATTTTTTTAATGAATATATTTTAGCTCCCTTAGTTTGACATCATTATCTATTGATCAAGAAGAGCTTCCTGTTCAAGGCCCTATCAATAAAGAGCCTGATGAAAAATTATATCCTGAAAAAAAGAAATTAGGAATTCGAAGATTGTAAGTATCTTATTTATTGCCTGCACATTAAGTTTTTCTGTTTGCTTTTCTTGCTCTAAGTTTCATTTTGCTTAGCTTTAGAAAAAAAAAATTCTTTTATGAGTTAAATGCATGCTCATTATCTTATTGATAATAACTAACAAATATATCTCTTAAACTGTCACTCACCAAATGTGTTTATCTTCTGTATAAAGTTAAATATGATTTAGATATTACCCAAAATAAATCCATCTTTATATTTATGCAAGCTTGGAAAACGTCAATTTTTGAATTTTAATTGATGTCTATGTTGCCAGCCTTCATTAACCAATGGTTAAAAATTGCTTGAACCACTCTTCAAGTTTAGAGAATTCAAATTCCTTTCCAATTGAAAGGATTAATTTTTAGTCAAATCATTAATGCCAGAAGCATTTTTGTAAGCTCTTGGCAGTGCACATTGGGCAATTATAATTATCAGTTTAATTAGAGGGGTTGCTGCTTTAGAAATGGCAGACATCTAACTTTTTTCTGTGCAGAGGAATTAGAAAGCCCAAGGCAAATTCTTTGATTAAGAGGTTATGCTAGATGCCCTTGCAAAATGCAAAAAATAGATTCGTCATTGAACGGGAAAAAAAGATCATTCTATTAAAAAAAAATCATATGGAAAATATATCAAAAGTCAATGTTTTAAATTTATATTTATGTAAGGAAAATTTAGATTATTCTAAGGTAAAAGCTTTATTAAATCTAGAAAAAAAATAATATTGTTAATTTTTCTTTCTTAAATGCAAGGAATATTGAAATTGTTATTATTTAAAATCTCATTATTAAATTCATTTAATTTAAAAATCCTGGTTTTATTCTTCATGATATAATTTGCTTAGACCAAATATCTACCTGTTAAAAAACTTAATATCATAATAAAATAGCAATAAATTTAAAGTTTTATTGTTCTTTGATGTTGATTGGATACCCCTTCGCCCCCTCTTTTCACACCGCTGCTGGTTTGTAAACTTAAAATCAGTCATTTGTCATCATCAAATTTTTAGGAACAGAATCATTTATGTATAATGATACTGAAATTAGTTTTCGTTGTCAGTCTCGCCAAAACAACTCTATCACTTATCAGAATTAATAAAAAATTTGATTGAAACGTTAAATTAGTGAATTACTGGTCTAAACAAGTTTGACTAATATTGTGGTACGTATAAGAGTGATTCAAATATAAATAGTAGTATATTTTATATATTTAGTTTATTGTTTACCCAAACTAAACTAGTTCTTCAGTTTTTCGGAATAACTTTTTTGCTCTTAGCTCTTTACACTTTCAGGCAACAATTTGGAAGCTTAACTAGAAAGAAAGAAAAAATTAATGGTCTGTCAATAACAAGTTTTGAACACGCTTCTTGAGATCTTTGCTATATTAGGATCATTTCCTAAGTGATTCTTTGTCGGGTGTAAACAAAGAAATTATTAGTCTTAAGAGGAAAAATCTAGGCTGCATGTCGGGTGGTCAAATGGCTCCTTATATATTTATCCAATTTGTCTCCTATTAAAATGACAGTGTGAGACCTAGTATTATCGTGGAGAAGGGTGACATATGTGATGGCTATACGTCATCTATTATTTTGGCAAGTTTTTATTCTCTAACCAGACCACCCACATTCATTCATAAGACTAATTGCTAGTTTTATTGATTTACTGTTAGAATTTTTAGTTCTCTTAGGTAGTTTCATAAGGAAAAAAAATTAAAATTTTTAGAGGCAAGAGTTGGAAAAATATGAATTACGGGGCTCTTCACTTTTTTAATATTTAACAAATATAGTGTTAAATCTTATGTCATTCAGATTTGTCGTTTTGAAAAAATATAATTCATCTCTATCATTTGATTTAAAAACAATTCAAATAATGAAACAATAATCTCAGATTTGTTATATGTGTTACCGGCAAAGTATGAAATCTGGCATTGTATAGAAAGACTAGGCATTGTATAGAATGCCTAAAATTAGCCGGCAAAGTATGAAATGATTTATATTTCACACATTTCCTAGGCATTCTATTGATTACTAAATGAGAAATTGGCAAAGTATAAAATGCATCTCCGATTCGTTTCAAATATCACTTGGCAAGGCTCGTGACTTTTGACTAATAACAAAAATTATTTTTTTGCTGTGCTACATGGAAATGGAAGAATTTAATGAAATTTACATGGAAAAATGTAATGAAACGTAATTCAAAATTTCATTCAAGCCTGCCATGTTGCAACAAGTAGGTTAAATTCATATTTTTTATATGAAACTTTTGTTTCCCTTAATAAGAAAGGCTTAAATTTTGTTTTGCGTAACTTTTTAATTTTCTTTCCACATTTTGAATAAATGTTTTACAATGGCACTCTCAGTATTTTTTCAGAATAATATTTTTATTTTTGAGAAATGCATGTTGCTGTGAATGACCGAAATCCGTAGTTTTACATTTATTCGATATTTTAATACTTACTGACGATAGATTAGAAGAAGCATCAGTGTAGGGTATACCGGGCAGTGGCACTTGATCTTAAAAAAACATCAGTGTAGGGTATTACGGGCAAATGTATACCAGGCAGTGGCACTTGACCTTACAATAAACGTCAGTGTAAGGTATACCGGGCAATGGCACTTAACAAGAACTAGTATGACGGGACCTTTGGTGAATGTCCGAAATATATACTAGGTCTAGTTAAGCGCCATTGCACGGTATACATTTGTCCGGTATACCCTACACTGTTTTTTTAAGGTCAAGTGCCATTGCCCGGTATACATTTGCCCGATACTCCAAACTCTGATGTTTCTTCTAATCTATCGTCAGTAAGTATTAAAATATCAAATAAATGCAATTATATCCTATAATAAATTAAATATCAAATCGGATGTAATTAATATTTTCGGACATTCACCAAAGCGACTATGTGATTGTCAACATTCACCGGTGAAAGCCAACAACCACCAATTTCGCTTCTTCACAGTAACATGCACATCATTTACATAATAACCTCATCAGGACGTTTATTCCATACTTTGCCTAAATAGCATCCGGCATTGTATAGAATACCTAGGCATTCTATACAATGCGTAGGCAAAGTATGTAATACTTCTCACATTTCATGCTTTGCCTAAAAACGTCAGGCATTCTATACAATGCCTAGTCATTCTATACAATGCCGGCGTTTCATACTTTGCCGGTAACATATGCAATAAATATGGGAACATACAGAACTTCTAACAGAAATGTTTAGTTGCAATATCCTCTACCTTTTCATTTCAAAAATAGTGGAATTATTTTTTTTAATTATTTGATAAAAAAGTATTGAAGCAAAAAACAATTTTTAATAAAATTTTAGTAGTAGCCTTTCACTAATTTACATTTGTAATATGAGTTTATTTAGTATTTTTTAGCTTGCTTAAATCTCTACATATCTTTATCAATTCTGTATAATCAATAACATTATTTTTATACATGGTTTTGTTGAGTATGTATTAAAATAAATAAATCCTTTTTAAATCTAAAGCATACGCCCAATAAATTTTCTTAATTAAACTGTAACTTACTTTAATTTTAAATTATGCATAAAATGTCTTTATGGTGGCGAATAAAAACAAGAATTGAACTCTTTGCCGGAATAAAGTTATTCTATTATGATTATGTAAGAAAATATTTTAGCGATTTGTCAATTTTATGTATATATAAAGAATTTTCAACTTTAAGAAGACAATTTTTTTAGTTAGCATAGCTTAAATATTTTTTACCGTGAAAAAGCGTTTTAAAATATTTTATGAATGCTTGTTTTTTGTTGAAAAATTTGGTAACATATCCTGTAATACTAATTGTTTTTTTACTTTACTTATTAATTCAAATTTAATTTTAGTTAACATTATTAAAATGTCATTTGAAATAAAAAGTTTTATTTCTAAATAGGTTATTTTAACTATTTAAATATGCTGTAAACACATTTTTGTCACTGCTAAAAATTTATCTCAGCAGTATTAAATAAATAAAAAAAATTCTAAATATATTCAATAATGTTTCACTATTCAAATTTGTAGAAATTGTTTATTTCAAAACTAAAATAAGATTTATAATACTGCACCAAACATAGCATATTATCCTCAAACAGAAAAATACTGTCAGATATGTATTTAGCAAGAAACACCAGAAACAGAAAGATGCTCATTAAATTCAGTTGCTTGTTAAACAAGTACAAAATTATTTACTTGTTAAACAAGTACAAAACATTTAAAGAAGAGAAAAAGAAACAACTGACTTGCTTCCAAATAGTCTTTATTGAGAAATCAGAAATACATTTAATTTTTCAAAATTCTGTTTAATTTGATATTCATCATTAAACACTTAATGAGCAAGATTGGTACTAAGATTAAATTAAGTGAGTTTCTTTTTTTTTTTAAAAAAAAAAAAAAAAAAAAAAACAAGCCTGAATAATCTTTTTTAAAGTTTCATTTTGTTATTATTACTATAAATAGATTTAATTTGAATAGAACTAAATAAAAAAATATTCTCATAAAAATTTTGTACTTTTAAACTACTTGGGAATATGCATTTCTTTAAATAAACATAAATATATACTTTTTAAATGCTAATATGTCATAGCTTTCCTGCAAAAATATCCATAAAAATAAATTGTGAGCAAATGTTCTAAAAATGCTTTATCTTGCGTGTATACTCAAACTATATGATGGTTTTAATACACTTTTTTCCTTTTAACCCTTTTTTTTCTTTTCTCCTTTCAACCCTTCTTCACACTATGGAATGAGTGAATGGGAAATCACATTACAGTTTTTGTTTTTAATCAAGGTTTTTCGCTACATGGTTGCTTTTTCGTAAAATTTACAACACATGCGTGTTCATAGAGTGCAAATTTGAAGAATATTTTGTAATGTATAAATAATAATAAGAATATCCTTTTATACCGAGAGATGACGTTTGGTGATGTGTAATTACGTGGGTATGATATGTAAAGACAACAGAGATCATAAAGGATCTGATTGCTGGCAGTCAACCATTCGGCCATTTCCCTAATTTGTTTCATGTGTTATTTGTAATAAAATATGCTAAATGGATAACACAACTAATTGACATGAACCCGCATTCCCTATAAAATAAACAAAACATCACAGTTAGGAGCGGGAAATGACAAATCCAGCATTTCCAAATACAAATTAAAGTGGGAGTTTCCTGACAATAAATCTTCTGATTAGATTAGGGAGTTTCCTGAAGACTGCACAGGTAGAAGCAGAATTTTCTTTATAAATTCAAGTGGAGAATTTAGTTGATAAATTAATAAGGCAAAATGAAGCCCTTATAAAGGCTGTAAATAAAAAAACCCAAACAAAAAATGCTGAAAAAATTTATGTATGTTTTGAAAAATTTGATGCAACTGCTGAAAGCTTCGATTTGTTTCTAGAACAATTTTAAACATATCGTGACGCTCAAAACGTCAGAGAGGGTAGACGTACGAAAGTACTGATAGCAAATTTCAAGTTAAACTATATAAATTGTTAAAAAATTTTATTTCACCAGAAAACTCAACAGATAAAAGTTTTGACGTGCTGAAAACGAAATTAAAAAATCATCTTAATCCTAGAGCCTTAATAATTTCATGCCGTCATTTGTTTCTTAATCGTAAACAAATCAAGGAGGAAACAATAAATAATAATATCGCAGAATTACTCACTTTAGCTATTCAATGTGAATATTCAGAAAATATGCTTAACACTATGCTCAGAGATGTTTTTGTGTCAGGATTAAGGGATCTGTCAATTCTTGATCGATTATTTAGAGATGACATTGATTTAGAAAAACCCTAAAAAAAGCTTTGACCATGGAGAAGGCACAGAAAACTGCATTTGAGATCATTAAAGGAGTGGCAAAACGAAACTCACGAAGCTCAGAAAATATCTTTAAGTAGGTCATCCTATAAGTATTCCAATCCGAAATCAAAAACCAAGATGTGCTTCGTTCAAAGTGAAGCAGATTGTAAGGATTTCTGTTTGCATTGTTTGGGTAATCATAATAAATTTAATTCAGAGTTTATTTCTGCTAAATGCGGGTTTTGTAAGCAAATCTTTCACATCAAAAAGGCATGTTATGCTAAGAAAAATCAATCTAGATCGGTAAGACAAAAACAAATCGAGGAATCAATAATTCTTGAGAAAATAATTATGAAATTAATTGGTACAAATTAGAACCGGATAATTTTTTCTTGAATGAGGAGCAACTAAGAAAACCTCTAATTATGATAACGGTTGAAATCAAAAATGAACTGGTTCGAATGGAAGTCAATAAAAGCTTAACAATTTTGGTAACGAGTAAAAAAATTTCCGAAATTTTTTTTTTTTTTGGGGGGGGGGGGGGAAATTCATNTAAAAAAATTTCCGAAATTTTTTTTTTTTTTGGGGGGGGGGGGAGAAATTCATCAAACAAAATAAGGGTTAAAAGATCATTCTGCTGCGCTATGTCACAGAAAGAGTAGCTTATTGGAACCAAAAATGTGCGAAACCAAAAGATATATATTCACAGTGAAGTGAAAAACTATCCTGGAACCATATGTCAAAAACTTTCAAATTTTTTAATGCACTATTGAAAAGTACCAAATGTTACAATGTTAATGCCTTTTTCATTTTTAAAATTGTTTTTCATTATTTTATACATTGAAAATTATTTTTTTTGTTAAATGTGTGAAAAAGTGAAGAAAAAAAACTTGCTCATTTAAAGAGCTCATTTATATCGCACCAAACAAAAGACGCAATTTTCATGTAGAATCCAGAATCTCTGTAAATATAAGATTATATGTAGGTCCTACTGTTTTACTAAATTCTCATTGTTGAAAATTTTATTTTTTAGTTATTTTTTTGTTAACATGCACATATAAAAATCATTTAATTTGGTGAGTGGCTAAGGGTCTTGTGTAAGCTTAATGCATGTTCCTAATTTTTGTTTGCACTTTTATTTTGTGTTGTTCAGTTTTCATTTTCTTCGACGATTCTCAGTGGATAGACCTGAATCACTAGTGCAATTTTCAGCTTCCCCTCGGTGACCTGGCCAAAGTTAATGTGAAGTGCTTTTGTCTTTGGAGTTCCAACTAGTGCCACCTTCTGTGTTTTTGATGAGAACTTCAGTTGTTATACCAAGGCTTGATATATTATTTCTTGTTGATAGAAAACTATTTATTTAGTTTGAAATGTTAGATATTTCTTCTTTTTAAGTCAGCAATTTGTGTTTTTTGTGAAAGCTATGTGTGCTTGAAATTTAATGACTTTCATTGCTCTTATTTTAGCCATATTGTAACACAGCTCTTAGATTTTGTAGTGCAGCCTAGCAATGAAGCTTAATAATCTGAAAATGCAATTCAAAACAAATTTATAAAATTTTATATTTTTTTACATCTTTTGTAAGATTTTTTGTATTCCATGCAACTAGCTGATGTATCTTATATAATATGATGCATTGAAAAATTATCTTTTCATTTATTTATGTATCCTAAATGTTATGTATCTTTAAAGTATTTTACACTGTTTTATTCAATATTCTGTGATAAAAAGAAACAAATGTAATTATCAATTTGTAATCTTTGTTTTTATTTAAAATTTCTTTTTAGGGCTTATTGCTACTAAAACAGTGTTATGATTTTCTCAAATGGTTATCTTTTATACTAGTTATTTTAGTGCCATGTATTAATAAAATAAAATTGTCATGCAATAATCCCTCATTTAAAAAACGTAATAAAAGTTAATTAAGCTTAAATATTTTGAATAAAAATTTTAAGTATATAGTTTCAAAGTACTTTTCTTGAATAATTAAAATAAAACCCTATTTAATACATACTGTAAAGGTTTGATTATTCGGGATGCATGAGGATGAGCTAATTATCCTAAATTCTAGATATCTATGTACCTAAAATCTCGGTTTAATATATAGACTTTTTTTCCGGAAATAAGTTTCCAAACCTTAATAAAAAACAAAAATGCCGTAATAAAAACAAAAATTTATCAGAATCAGTACTTAAGAAACAAAAATAATAATGATAAAGGTTTAAAAAAACTGATTTAATTAAGTGAGGAAAAAAATACAACGGAAAAATTCTTTTTAATTCCTATGATATTTTAATAACAATCTGTTTTAAATATTTGATGGGGGAATTCTCAGTTTTCCATATTGCCTTACTTACTGGGAAAATGCAGCATCATAAGAAACGTAACGAATGCTTACCTGAATCTCTCCTTGCAGAAAAATAAAAATGATATATAAAAAATTATGAAAAATTGTCTATAAAAATATAAAAACTGAATGACTAACTAAATAATAGCCATATAAGTAATAAAAAAAAGTTATATTTCAAAGTAGTGTCTAAAGGCTTTGGTGAAACAAGAAATTTTTTTTTTTAAAGTTTTTAGAAAACGAATCAACAACCCTAATGAAAGTGCCAATAAATAAAAAAATAGTAAAGATGAGGGGTAAAATACTATCAGAGTTGTTCATAAAAATATTAAATATAAAAAAATTATATTGCAAAGTGGTAAAAAAAGGGAGAATTGCAAAAAAAAAAAAATATTGTTTTATATTCTATTATTATTTGTTTAAATTCTTTAACTATAAAAAACAATGTCTTTCATATCCCCATTTTTCAAAATCAAGTATTTAAAAAGAAAGACTTAAACTTGGCATTTTTTATATTTTTATTATTGATGAAAAAATTCTTCCAACAATTTTTTTTACGAAATTTAGCATGTGATATTTTCTAAAAAGTTTTTCATTTTTATAAAAATTTTGATGCAAGGAAAAATGTAAAAGAACATTGTAAATGAACTTCTTATTAGTTATTTTAAAATTATTTATTGATTTTGTTTTTTAGTAGTTATTAACGATATAATAGTTACTAACTAGAGAATAAGAATTTCATATCTTTGTATTGATAATTTCTGAAGAAAAAAAAAATTATTGTTCCTTATCTCTTCAAAAGCATATCATGTTGAAAAAAGTCAATCAAAATTCTTGATGTTAGCAGAAAAATAATGAAGTTCTCAGCTGCATCAAGCCCTAAGTACCAATTTTTAATGATTTAGGAGCAATTACTATGTTGCAGCTTGTTGTGTACCTTACATTCTGATAAAACATATGTATTTATCAGAGAGCAAGGGGGAAAAAATTACCAATATGAATAGATTTTGCTTTAATGATCAAATTTTCATGTATTATAATGCTATCTTAATGGCTCAAAGGGCATTTCTTAAAACATGCTTAATTGTTAGTATTAGTAGGACTAGGGGTTGTTAAGATTTTGGTATCTCTACATATGGTTAGATTAATATTTTACATTTGGAATCTCATAATTCTGAACAAATAACTAGAATGCATCAAAAACATGGTTACATCCTAATTTCTGATGCTTTTTAAAAAAAACGTCAATCCAAATATTGTTGATCCATGAGTTCCCTTGTCTTCTGGATTGGGTTCAAAATTACAAGGCTATGGAGTTAATAATTTGAAGTTTTAATAATGGAAAGTAAAATTATTTGTGTACATTATAATTCAAAAGTTTTTCAATTTTTACTAAATTAACTTATAAAAATATACTCATAAAAAATTATTGAAAAACCTTATAATTTTCTAAATGAAATTTTTAAAAAAATATTCTCATGAAATTTTTTTTTACATCATATTACCTTCAGGTTAATATGTTTTATAAATGAAAGTAGGTACTAAAGAAGGTACTAGTAGAAGTTTTTGATTTGTTAAAAAGTGCCTACAGATATGACGGAAATTAAAGAAGTAACTTTTAAGGAAACCAAAATTTTCACTGCTCTTTTGAATAAACTAATGGGACCATATTTTCCTAGTATCTGCTGCCTCCTATTTTGAGAGTCAAAAGTTCATAATAGTTAGAGAAAATGATATGTTCGTTTAAAAAAGTATGTTTTCTAGTCTTATTTCATTACTCAGTTCATCAGTAGCAATAGCAATCAATATCCCCTTTCAAACCATTAAGATAGCATCTTACCACATAAAAATGTGGCCGTTAACTTAAAAATTTATTGATGATGATTTTTTAAGTCTCTGTACATAAAAATTATTTATTTTTATTTTATTTATTTATTTTTTTGCTACAGGAAAGTTTTTTTTTTGCCTTTGTAGTGTACTCTTTTTCTCTTAAAAATATGACAACTAAATTTGATTTCATATGTAGTTTAACCATTAGTTTGAAAAATCAATTTCAGTATTATTATTTTTATAGTTTTTTTTCTTCTTCATGCAAATGAAATACTTCTGCATACAATTTCATACCTGGTATACCTAAAAGCTGAAAATTGTTCATAAAATCAATTCTAATATCCCTTTAAAATGTAGATTTAGTCAAAATCATGATAGTAAATTGATGTGAATTCTTTTCCATCAGAAAATTAAAGGAAATGTGAATGTATGAAATGAAAAATAATAAATATTTTTTTGAATGAGTTGTTTTTTATTTTGTTTCTATAAATCTCTTAACCTTCATTATGTAATCATCCTGTTTTATTTATGACATAGAATCCAAGGTTTTTCAGTGCTAATAATAAAAAAGCATATATTTTAGTACTAAAACTTATATGTTTTTATAGGAAGATCAATGGTCTGCTATGTTTAAAAACTCTGGGATGGAATATTTTCTCTAAATTAAAATCATATTTATAAATGGGAGATTAGTTGCACATTCGTCACTTCAAATAAGATTAGTTTCCTGTCTCTACCTTCTCATATTGTTTATACACACCTTCCATTGTATTTGTAAATAGCATAGCAGTTGCCCATTTATCACTTCATATGAGATGGGTTTCCTGTATCTATCTACTCATTATACTTATACACACCATCACTAGAATAGGAAGTCCTAGTTAGAATCATCTACATATTAAGATCCAAATGTTCTTAGTACTTGTGAAGACTGTTAACAGACCTCACCACTCTGAGATTATGAAAAAAGAAAGAATTTTCCTTTGAGAAAATTTTGTAATATTTTAAAATTATGAAACAATTATCTACGAACAGGGCAAGTGCTTAATTTCAAAATTTTGAGTAATCCCCTCGGTCCACTTCATGCGTCCAGAAAACTTCAACAGTATTTTTGTTAAAACTACAAAATCGTAGCTCAAACACATCTTCACAGATTGATTTTAGATTTGAACTGTGTAATTAAAATGGCATTCTTACTTGCCATCAAACGTCCCTAGAGCTTTCTGATCACTGACTGAACATGGCATTTCATTTTATTGCATAGTTTTTGTTATAAACAATTTTTTGGTTAGAATTATATGTATTTTTTTTAGAAAATATGTGCAATTTTTTCAAAAATTTGTATATCAAAAATAATTACTATAGCCATTCGCAAATACATTAGTTATAATAATTTTTTTTCCTTAACTAGGAACTTCCTTCTGTTTCAATCATATACCCTTCAATAAAAAGGTTTAATTGACTAAGTCTGTACAGCCGCCATTTTCTTTTGTATAGCTTGAAAAAATAGTAATTTTTACAATTCAGTAGTTGAACCTTTAAAATTTTGAATTGATTGATTTTAATTTCAATAACATGTCTAATTTTCATAAATTTGTTTCATTCCAATGTCCTGCAAAAACATCTTCCTAAAAAATGCCTAATGTTATTAGAATACTCTAACCCTTTACTTTCTTAAATAAAACACTTTTTATCCGAGATTAAATAAAATCATTTTTAGCATTTTTTTTTAATAGTTTGAAATATTAAGTATTTACATACTATAAAAAATTTTTAAAAAAAAGAAAAAAAACATGAGCTGAAGAAGAATTAAATAAGAATTCTTAACATATTCTTAATCAAGCTTGCTAAAATGTTTTATTTTTCTTGAATAATACAATATTCCCCTTTGCAGATTTGAAAAAATTCCCTCAAAATTCTGGAAGTCAACAAGCATTCAATACAAAACAAGAATATCCGTAGAACAATCGAATCGTTGGAGCAATTTTATTATGTGATTCTGAAATGTGATGCCTTAGAAAGTTAGACATCTAAAAAATTGAGGTCTTACAAAATAACTCTCAGAAAAATTTTCGAAATCTTTAGACCTGTTAAAATTAGAAACGAAAACATTATTCAAAGTAGCAAAGCCAACTAAAATCGAAGTGAAAATCAATATGAGAAAATGGAAATGGGCGGGACATGTACTGAGAATAACAAGCGAAAAATGATAGTGTGTTTCTCTTTCTTGGGCTCCTGATGGCAAAGAAAAAAATAATGAGTTGGCAAAGATAAATGTTAGCCTGACTGCAAAGGTACTGTAGTGATAGATACACTGCAATACTCCCCCTCCAGCATTATAGCTGTGATAGAATTCGATGAACGAATACCACTAGTTGATTCATTGCTGTTTTGTGAGATGTTGGGAGAGCTGTATTAAGATCACCGTGCTTTTGAGTGCTGATCGTGAGAGGTGTATTAAGTTCACAGTCGTGGTCGTTCCTGTGTCGCCTTTAGCAGTCGAGTGAATACGTTGTGTGTGATCGAGATTAAGTAGAAACAGCTCGCGGAGGTGGATGATGTTGCAGTCACAAGTAGCAAGTCAACTGTTTAATGTGGACCATCCATTGAAGTAGGCGTGTTCATATCACGTCCGGGTCACCAATGTGTGGAATAGTAGTTGTCGACAATGTCAACCTTCATCTATGAAAAGGTATCCCCTCATAGAATCGAGTTAACATGTCTTATATACAAGTGAATAGGGGTTGTATTTTTGTAGTGGTAGATACACTACAGGGACTCTAACCCAGGATCCGCTTACCACTGAGGATATTTTACGTCAGCACTGTGGTCGGCGCAAGCCGTATGTGGAATTCGTATCGACCAGCCATCGCTGGGATTCGAACCCGGTTCATCCACCTCATTGGAAAGCGAACGCTCTATCCCCTGAGCCATTACGACTTTTCGCGATCACTGCGTAATATCAGTATCCCCAACATCCTTCAGACCTCCAGAATGTTGGGGATACTGATACCATTATAACAATGGTATCAGTAATACTGTTCCCATTGTTTTGAATAATATTTTTTAGTTGTTGATACCTCCAATTTGTTTCTGATTAACTACCCACAATCCTGAATTGGTAAGGGTGTTTTTCTAATGACCCAACCAGTGATTCATAGCTGTACATTGTGTGTTATTTAGACTACAACTGTTTTGCGCTAAATTCTGGTTTGTTTTTATGTCGAAAATAAAATTGTATCTACTATTTCCTAGGCAGTTTCTTTCTCCAGTATGTCACGAGAAAGGGAATGGTTACATAAAGAAATCGAAGCATGGTGTAACGTGCACATAGGCCAGTAAAATCATTCAATCATTATGTATGCCCCATAATTCTAGCGAACTAATCGAAATAACAAAAGAAAATTAGTCTAAGATGAATTTATCCAAACTTAAAAATAGCCTGAATTAACATTTAAAAAGCTAAAGAAAAAAAAAATTTTAAAAAAATTATTATAATATTTTTTCATTATATTTAAAAAAAATTATTAGAAAAAAAAGACACGTTTAAGTTTTACATTATTAATATTACATTGTAAGAGTCAATGTGCTTTTGAATGACGTGATAGCCAATATTAACTTTACATTTCAGAAATCATAAATAGAACAAGCTGAAAAATAATTCTAAAGATTAATTTATCTGGAACTTAAATTTAAAAAAAATTTAGATAAATGTATAAAAGCTGACTGTATATATAATTTATATATTTATAAAAAGACAAATAAATACACATAGAAGACAAGAAGAAAATTTAAGAAATTAAGGAAATATTAATAGAAAAAGACTTTTTTTTAATAAAAAAAAAACTTTCTTCACTTGACACGACATTATACTGTGAAACAGCGACCACTCTCTGTTCCACAGTATACTGTAGTAATAAGGTACTACAAACGACAACATTGACTTACAACAACATTCCGATAACATTGACGTCAAAATGCTATCGGAAGTACATGATTTTCAGCAAGCGATTTTAATTTTTCTCAGCTTCATTTTCTTGGTGCGCAATTTTCACTTGTTTTGGCGTCATAAAAATTGGATCGATGAATAAAATTTAACGTCACTAAAAATGGCTCCTACTGATATAATTATGTGTAAAAACAAATTTACCAAATATGAATGATATAATTATTTTAAATAAATAAACAAATATGTTTTTTTGTCTAAGTTTGCATTTGATTTTACATCATAAAAATTAATTTACTTTATAAAATGAGGGGTTTGTTTGTTTGAGATGCTTAATTTTTTCTATAATAACTTTTTTTTCTTCCTAATTTAACTCTTAACTCTAAAATTAAATCATTGATAGTAGCGTCTTTAGGGCACTCTGACATCTGACTGTATCATGAAGTTGTCAATCTCTTTCAAAAACAGCTAGATAAATAAGAGTCACTCACAAATATTTTGAATTTACTTATATGTTTTGTTAATAATTTTTATTTTTATATTTTTTCGTATTTCAATATTTAACCTTTCCCGCATTTAGTGCGGAGGTTTGCCCGGTTGCAGGGGGAGAGGTTTTGATGATTTCTCCCTAAGGTTTTCCTCAGCTTAAAGTCAATGGAAAAAACTTTATATATATATATATATGTCTACACTTAGAATTGAAGAAAGATAGTTGAAAAGAAAAAAAAAATAATTAAGTAATTAGCCAAAAAAATTTTTGTAAATAAATTATTAGGTAACAAAAAACTTTCTTTATTTCTTTAAACATTTTTTTTTTTTAATCTCTCTCCATCTTTCAATATTTTAAACTTACATCTACATACGCATGTGTTTACATTTTAATATCTTTCCAGAACGCTAAATTATAAGAGTCAATGTAAAATGTGCTTTTGAAAGACAATATCACTTTTATAAATCAGAAATTAGGAAATAATTCGAAATTATGAATATTACATTTAAAGTAGAGCCAACAAAAAAATTTGTCTGAAACAATAACTAAAAAAAAGTTAATATAAATGTATAAAAGCTGAAAAAAAAATTTTTTTTTTCATTTTTATGAATACTTATTAAAAACACTAAATTATAAAGATCAATTAAAAATTTGTTTTCAAATTATTTGAAAACCAATTTTATAGATTAGACATTAATATATTCTAAATTGCTCTAATTTGTATATAACTGTTTATGGGTCATTAGAATATAAAATGTTTTTCCTTTAGTGCATATTTCAAAAATTAATTTTAAATAACGTTAATGAAAGGCACAAAAGCTAGAAATTTGTGTTTAGAAATAAACAGCAAATCAATTACTATGGAATGGTTGTTCTATAATCACCGCCCTTATCATATATTTTTAGAAATCTTGTCAAAAAATACACATTGAAGGTTTCAAGCTATTATTTAAGATTATAGCTAATATTAAATCTGGAAAAACACTGTTGAGGAAAGCAAGTTTAAAAAACATCAAAACCTGTTTTGA